GCAATTAGCTTACAAAAGTTCCGTCACAACTCGAAGCGATATCGTCAGTGCGTGGTTGTACGTGTGATTCCTCCACTTCTGCTAGCGGTTATTTATTTCCCCAAAGGTACTTACAGTTTGCGATGTGCCTGCTGTTTAAGAACCTTCAGGTCTGCCGAAGAGATGAAGCCATTCAGCGAACCAATCAGACGCAAGATAATCAAACCACAACGAAATACCAGACCTAAAATGACCAAACGAATTAGGTTGCAGGTACTTCTAAAACAACCAATGAAGTTAGTACTTCTAAAACAACCAGTGAAGTTGCAGACACTTCGCTTCAGGGACTACGTAGGCGCAAGCAGAAGTGGAGGATTCACCCATCCAACCACGCACTAACAATTTTTACTCGCATAATGACGAAACGTTTGCCAGTCGGTCGTCAAGTTCGGTGTACAGATCAACTTCCGCCTGACCAACAGCTACACACTGAGTCAAATTACTCACACCTGTCTTATCTCAAAGCAGATCAAACAAAGGAGTTTATTGCAAAATCGTGAAGGCCCCAAGTCATCAATGACCGTGAATAAGCTATGGCTAGGTGAAAAACGCAATCAAAACTCTGGATTGCCCCAGAGGTTTTCGTCCCTGAACACCAGTGCTTTGGGATATAACATGCTCTGTAAAAGTTTCACAACCCAGGAATGTATCCTTGGCTCTGTAGTTCACCTGAAACAGGCGCGCACTGTGTAAAAGGCACGGTGAAATAATCAAAGACTTGACCGCTTGGTAACGCTGGTGATCTGGAGGATCCGCAAGTAGCTAATTGGTCATCACCCACCTCTCCAATATAGGTTTGATTTTGGGGCGAGTTCTCTTTTGCTGAGGGAAATTTCACCAAAAAGGCTTCAGATAGCAATATTGTGGCTATTTCGGTTTCAGCACTTGGTGTCCGCTCAGTCTAGAGTAACGTAGCCTCATCAAGCACTTAACCTCCGTTCTATCTTCATGTCTCCTTTCAAGTATATTCCTGGCCCCCATCGCGTGTGCTTTCAAAAAAGTGTGGCATGGTTCTTCGCCCAGTGGGAGAATAGTACTTATTCCCCAGGCTGAAAAGTAGTTTTTCTATATGTATCATCTCATACTGAATTGCGGCTACTGAGGATGTAAAGACCGGGTATTCTTTCAGATTCAGTTTAGTTGTGACGCCGAAATTTCATAATCAATGCTAAAAATCACTTCAAAAGTGGTAATTAACAACAGCAATAAACCGTTATGGAATGCTTATTCTGAGACATCCACGTGAGTATGCAGGTGCACCACAGCGTAGCCGAAATCATTTCGCTTGAAAAAACAGCACGCTTACAAACAAGTTTTCTTAAGTTTCGTAAGTCTACAACGAACCCTATTACGAGTAGCTGCTTCTTCAGCACGCCTTTGAAGCTGTGACAATGAACACCTTATGAGACAGCTATGGAAATTTGAACTTTTAGCAGGGTCATGTGGCAGGAGATGTACTTCCTCTGCGCGAGAAACATGTACTGCTACAAAGAGTGCGCCTTGTTCTAGAGAATGCAAGCTCTGAACGGAGTCTTGCATATTCGAGCCTCTAACCGAAGAACCACCACATCCAACAATGGGGCGTTTTGGGTGGAAATAACTGAAGCACCAAGCCACTTCTCAAAATTTGAAACTGATAAGCATTGTATTCAGGAAATGTTATGACGCGATAAAGATTGCTTCATCTTCTTTCCATGAGTTGTAAAGGAGTCTTGTTGAGGTGAATGATGATACCGACGCTTGGTTGTTTCCTTGTTGCCACTAACTCTCGATGACAGTGTAAAAAGAAGCTAATTCATGTTCGCTCATTCGAGTTTGTTTTAAAAACACTTGGTGAAAAAAACACCACAGAACCATAGCCCAGAGAACGTGCTTTCCAAGAGCTAGCGCTCTAGAAAAGGGCATTCTAAAGAAGTCAATCCAAAGATTTCTCTTGGGAAGAGATCAGAACAGCTTTCCGCACTTCCATGACGCAACCGGGCAATGGCTCATCTGACTAAGACCGTGCGATGTGGCACACAGTCATGCACAAACTTTTGTAAAACACTGCGTGGTGGCACTTTGAAAACGGAGGATTGGCGGATAGTACAAAAGTCCGAAAGGAAATCTTCGAAGATCATTTCAAAGCCACACGACCCATCGCTATTTTACACCTGTGGGTAAGGTACAAAAGTAAATCGGATGCCCTTGGAACGCTAACAAAGCCGTTGTTTTCACTCACCAATGGTGTGACTTTTTAAACAGTCAGGATCGGACCATATACCATACAGTAGGAAAAATCATTGTCGGCAAACATCTAGTGAACCAAAATGTATAATATGTAGCTGCATTTTGAACTAAAAGACCACTGACAATGGCTTCAGTAGCTGTTAATCTGAACTAGTTAAGGTCTTTAGGCCGTATTTTTCCCACGATCATACCTCTTTCATGTGACACAATGTGTGAAGATTACTTTGTGATCCATGTCTGTGAAAGATATGAGTCTACTGTGAATTCATTATGAGTAGACGCTGTATCGTTCGTGTGACGACAGCAAAAAGCTCAACTGCGAATAAACAACAAGCACGACATAACAACCACGCGCGAGCTGGACAGCAACTCCTTGAAAGTGTTGCATGGATCATCGAACGAATGGTTAAACAAGTGCGTGACGAATGTCCACATTAGGGCCTTGTGGGGAAATCGTGCCTGCAATGTCCGAATAAAAAAGTTCCATGGTTTATCCACCCACCTCCCCAAATCATTGGTGAATGAAACTGTGGAAGCTACAACCATTGTACGACAAGTACGCTGTTCTTACAGCTGACAATGATGATGATGATGATAATGATGAGGATGATGATGATGTAGCAGTCGATTAGCTCGAACGCGATTACCGTGCACTTCTTGTTTTGTTGCCCAACTGTGTTTTTCGATGCGACGTTATGATCTAGTATTCTTACAGCATGATGATGATGATGATAATGATGAGGATGATGATGATGTAGCAGTCGATTAGCTCGAACGCGATTACCGTGCACTTCTTGTTTTGTTGCCCAACTGTGTTTTTCGATGCGACGTTATGATCTAGTAGAACGACACACTAATACAGGGCAAGAAGAATGATGTTGATGTTGATGTTGGGTTGATCATGCTTCCAAAACATCGCGTTTGTTTATTCATCAAAAACAGATAAGAACGCATAATGGATAAATGTGTACCTACATCACTGAAATGAGGCAGGTGGACTTCAGCTGCTCATCCGGATAAATCTCGCCTCACTTTTTTCTTTATTTGTCTCGTATCCTGTCTTTCATGGGCACTTTTGGGGGGAACGTGTGGAACCTTCGATTTATCATCCATCTTGATAAGTTAAAATGTACCGAGCCTTCGTTATTCTGTTATTCGCTATTCTGTTTTCCATTGGCCAGTTGTCTGCCATACCAGTCATCTGTCTTTGTTCAAAACATCCGGAGAGATGTTACAGACCGACCATCTGAAAATTGCAACAAATGGCCCAAAAGCGTTCATCTGTAGACTGTGCGGTGAAATGGAGTGTAAAGACCGTAGGGGATAGACGTTTGCATCAAGTGCACAGTTCCATGTTCAACGATTATCGAGTGGAAGGTGCCGCTAAGCGGAAATGGTTTTGAAAGCCAAGTCCAGTGGATGGAATATCCAACTGACCGTAAACGGGGACAAAACGATCGAATCTCTTTTATACTTGATCTTAATTTGATTAGACGAATTTCTCTTCAGTGGGATCACCCATGGAGAATACGAAAATCTACTCACTCCTTTTGGTCGATTCCATTACATTCCAATTACGACGCCTGTGATGTACGGCTTCACCATTTCAGTCACTTAGAATGAATCAGTGGTACACGCCTTCATATCCATACACCACAGCGAAAATCACACTTGACAAGATGAAACCCAAATCACAGCTCTGTTGCGTCCACTTCTTTATAGCTTGCCATCTTCTCCTGCTTTAGTTACATATCACTGGTGACTAATCCCCTGTATTACCCCACGCTCAGAATGGCAAGATCAGTGCAGGAGGTCGGCGAAATCGTCAGGCAGGGTAGGTTAAAGTAACTGGATTTACCCCCCCCCCCTCCCCCAGTTAAATCGGCCTTCATGTGCACATCAGTTTATGAGGGAGCCAAGTGCACCTCTTGATGAACGGATTAACTTGATTTGTTGTGTACAGTTGCATTATCGTACATTATGGTTGAATAGCTCCCCGCAAGTGAGCTTATAAAATTGTGGGAGAACTTACCACCCCATGTTCCACAAAGTCGGTCACATAATCCTCTCTAAACTTGACTGAATTGTGATGCAGACTTAAGCGTCCAGCCGGACGGAGAAAATGAGGCCAGACTGCTTGCAACTATTTATGACTTCTATCGAGCTACAATTATTCACATGCTTTCTTGTTAATGAAACCCTTTTTTCTTGTAGGTAGTCGAAACCTTCCGTGTTTTGCTCACCACTGCCGTAAAAGGATACAAAAATCTAGATTCTCTGGACAAACACAGCCTCCTTCTAAACGTCATGATGCCGTATGTAAGTCTGTTATCTTCGCATATTTTGGAATTCGGGCTCATGCTACTTTTGCCAGAACTCCCTCCTATGAATTGGACAGAGATGAACCGAACTGGCATAACAAAGAAATGGTTGATGTGTTTCCAGGCCTGTAATCGACAAAACAATTACTTCGGTCCAGCGGCTAGGTGAACGCTTGCTCTGTGGTGGCAACCGATAGACCCCAAAAAACGGGCAATTTCTGTCACATGGCATCAATTACTCATCACCCAGGAAACTACTTACAAAGTTGCTGAAAACCATACGACAGCTCACGACTAGTCACATCCTGCTTTGGGATGATCAGGCAGGCGCAGCCCCAAAGTTTCCACTAACCCCATGTTTTACTTGGACCCAAATTGAACTGATTTCAACAAATACACTCATTTGAGTATGCTTTTGATATCCAAAAGGGTGCATTTGTCGAAATCACTCAATCTCTTTCATGAAAACAGTACAACCGTTAAATCTCCTTGATGCTCTTAGTAACAGGTTTAAAGACAAATATGAACTATTATTGTGGAAAAAATGTAGCGAAATGGCGCAATGTACGGCCGTGTAAGAAGTAAGACTTTGCCCACCTTGATAGTATTCTGGTGATAAACCTCAAGTTCTAGCATATTCTACCAATTAGAACAACTTCAATGTTGGGCCAATGGGGTAGTGAAACTTCAGGGATCTGGTTTACAACGTGGCCCAATCTAGCCTGACCCAAACTGAAAGTGAATGCTGTATCTCACCGGATGTGCAAATTCTTTCGTTCATCAGCTAAAATGTTGCGGAGTGACCGGCGCGGAAGATTTCACTGGATCCAAAAGCTTTGATAACCAATTCGTCACCAACGAGGGCACAATCGGTAAGTATTCCTGTTCACGATTCCGTTCGGTGCTTGTGTACTATGGTGCTGTGGGTCAGATTTGTGTAGGCGTACTGAATTGTGATGCAGACTTAAGCGTCCAGCCGGACGGAGAAAATGAGGCCAGACTGCTTGCAACTATTTATGACTTCTATCGAGCTACAATTATTCACATGCTTTCTTGTTAATGAAACTCTTTTTTCTTGTAGGTAGTCGAAACCTTCCGTGTTTTGCTCACCACTGCCGTAAAAGGATACAAAAATCTAGATTCTCTGGACAAACACAGCCTCCTTCTAAACGTCATGATGCCGTATGTAAGTCTGTTATCTTCGCATATTTTGGAATTCGGGCTCATGCTACTTTTGCCAGAACTCCCTCCTATGAATTGGACAGAGATGAACCGAACTGGCATAACAAAGAAATGGTTGATGTGTTTCCAGGTCTGTAATCGACAAAACAATAAAAAAAACTTCGAAACAATTACTTCGGTCCAGCGGCGAGGTGAACGCTTGCTCTGTGGTGGCAAACGATAGACCCCAAAAAGCGGGCAATTTCTGTCACATGGCATCAATTAATCATCACCCAGGAAACTACTCACAAAGTTGCTGAAAACCATACGAAAGCTCACGACTAGTCACATCCTGCTTTGGGATGATCAGGCAGACGCAGCCCCAAAGTTTCCACTAACCCCATGTTTTACTTGGACCCAAATTGAACTGATTTCAACAACTACACTCATTTGAGTATGCTTTTGATATCCAAAAGGGTGCATTTGTCGAAATCACTTAATTTCTTTCATGAAAACAGTACAACCGCTAAATCTCCTTGATGCTCTTAGTAACAGGCTTAAAGACAAATATGAACTATTATTGTGGAAAAAATGTAGCGAAATGGCGCAATGTACGGCCGTGTAAGAAGTAAGACTTTGCCCACCTTGATAGTATTCTGGTGATAAACCTCAAGTTCTAGCATATTCTACCAATTAGAACAACTTCAATGTTGGGCCAATGGGGTAGTGAAACTTCAGGGATCTGGTTTACAACGTGGCCCAATCTAGCCTGACCCAAACTGAAAGTGAATGCTGTATCTCACCGGATGTGCAAATTCTTTCGTTCATCAGCTAAAATGTTGCGGAGTGACCGGCGCGGAAGATTTCACTGGATCCAAAAGCTTTGATAACCAATTCGTCACCAACGAGGGCACAATCGGTAAGTATTCCTGTTCATGATTCCGTTCGGTGCTTGTGTACTATGGTGCTGTGGGTCAGATTTGTGTAGGCGTTAACACATTTGTGTGCAGTCAGACAGACAACAGTCGTGGTATAACGTGTTTTCTTGAAAGAGAAACGTGTTCACATGTGCCCATGTAAATATGTGATTATTCGCTCCCTTCATTTTCTTTACAGTTGATTACAGTTTCAAGTAAGCTATGTAGGGCGTGATCAGAGTTGATAAAAAAGCCAACTGAATGGGATTTACATGATAGGTAAATCATCTGCACTAATGAGAAAGCAACGTGTCTCTCATAGCGGTGCACTGTTTTAAGAGGGACGACTGCACAGAGAAGAAACTTTTATATACTGTTAGGCGTTGGTCTCTGGGACAAAAGTCAAAGTTTATAACAAAACGAAATTAGACGATAGTTTCTTTGGTTTGGTGTTCTTTTTCATAAGTGTCTGCATTGTCAGTATTGTCGTAACCCGATTCGGATTTTTGTACAAGTGTGGTTGTATGGTGTCAAAGAAAAAAACGTGTGGTCGTGTGGTGTTTAGATGACCGACCAAAATAGGTGGGATGGAATGACCTAAAGTACAAATGCGGGAAAAAGGCTTTACGTGCGGATTCTCCTTCAAAATCACAAATGAGGATAACTGATAAGTTTGGTAGGCTAGTGTTACGCAGAATCCTGTATTGATAGCGATTTACTGCTCGCAGTTGGGAGCTGTTACGGCCAAGAAGCCCAGACCGCACGTGATTGGCTTGCCAGTCTAGCATCAAGGCGGACTCCGATTGGTAGGAAGTCTGGACCCAACAGCCAATCGCGATACGGTTCCTGCCGGAGGCCCCTCGACAAGGACTAGTCCAGGCGTCAGAATTTCCAGAATATTTTCGCCTCAAACACTCAATAAACGACGTTGTGTACATTTGTTTTTGATATAGTTTGGGCGCCAATATGCGTGCACCTTTGGTGGTTGTTTTGATGGAAACGCCGGAAGGTTCAGACCGAGAATTGAGCTTGGAAAATACCGTTATTACGGCTGGTGACACTTTCATTCCGCTAGTTTTTATATTCTGTTTCACAGTTTCCTCAGAGTGTATTTTATTTTTTAGATCATCCTTAGCATTGGACAATGAGCAGTGGTCACAGTATGAAGCCATGCTCGTGATATGATTGGTTATTTGAGCCTCCTAACACAAATTTAATTGCGAGACTTATGAGGTCTAGATAGTGTAGGCCACATGGTTATCACCACATATACGGCACTACATGTATGGGTACGACTTTGATGGTCTTCTAATGAGGTAGATTTGTTGCAAGTTTTAAACCTACGGAAATGACCGATGATACCGGTGCCTAAATACTAACGAAATAGTTGGTGCCCCAATCCCTATCTATACAAGCATGTTTGGATTGAAAAGACTATGACTAATCACCCAAAAATCTACCAAAATGACTAATGATACCGGTACCTCAATAATAAAGAAATGGTTGGTGCCCCAATCCCTATTTATACAACCATGTTTGGGTTGAAAAGACTATGACTAATCACCCAAAAATCTCATTCAGTCCGTCTGCAGCCTCTCAAAGATACCGAGGCTCCCGGTAGTTCGGCAAATTCCATTTCAGAAGTCCATCACCGATACACTCCACAAGTGCGCCTTTAAGTTGTTACAGAATTGTCAGACTGTGTTGGTGATAATGCCCCAGCAGAGGCCAGCAAAATAAAATGCAATGTTCCAAATTTGCGCCTGAAACCGAGGGTGATGCTTGCTCAACAACTGTATTTGTGAGTGGATCTAAGTAGATCTAGCGAGTGAGTTCCTCTCCCCAATCGATATTATCCATCGTAGTTTACTGAATACTTTCTCCTCACCTACGTTTGATTACTTGGCTTCTAAAGAAAACCTGATATCTTTTTGCGTGACTAGTTAGCTGGTGTGTAACTCTATTCATACTTATCCGTTCTCAATTCAGTTGCGTCGTATTCCGAATTTCTTTAGTTGGAACTTGGCAATGAAATTCTTGCAAGCTAATTGTCCAGATCGGTGAACAGATCAACTGCCAGTGGATAACTTTATCCAGCTTTCTGAATAACCCAAAACATTTGATCATAGGGAACCGTTGAAAATTTTTTAAAAACAGGTCTGCGCAAGATTGTCGCAACTATCACCTTGACAGTGGGCTATTCTCGTACTGAGTGCTTAGCATGAGAAGTGAGAATATACTATTGCGGAAAGACCAATATATCTCTTCTTTTGCTGTGTACTACCAATTATCCAGTATGTCCTCTGCTGAATATTGGCGAGCTTTCCGAGCCGGCTTGGATTATATCCAAACAAAGCATAAGGATGGTTTTCTCATGCATCTACATAAGTAATCAATTCAGCTATTCACGGAGTGTCTGATATGCTGTTCTGGCGGAAGCCATTGCCTGTTTGTTCACTTCAGAAAGTAAGATAAGCAACCAGCGGCGGAGAATAAAGCCGATCTGACTGTCACTTTCTTGGAGGAACATGCCCAGAGATAGGCGGTTGTCAAAACTGATCGGTGTTGTCCCCATTTTCAGTGCTACGGTATCCGGTGTCCTGCTGTAAGCGGAAAGGAAATTACGATAAACTGCCAAACAAATGTCCGGAAGTGTTTGACGAGCGAAATAGTTACATCAAAACCGGATGTTGGCCTTTGCTTGAAGGACAAGTTTTGTCGGCCCTCACAAAGGTGTCATTTATCGTCATATTCACTATACTGATTGAAGTAAGTCGTCCCATTTATTAGTTAAACATGGCATTTCACGCTCTCACCTCAGGTTATCTATGTTATTGAAATTTCATCTGATTTGTGCATATCTGCGCCAGTTTTTCTTGCATAAAAAAGCAATCAGTACCAAGTAGTAAGAGTACTCTTGTACCGCACTCTATGAAAATTGGATAGTGTTCACAGAAGACTCAACAAGATCCTTTACTTATTGCATACTTCGGCTAATATGCTGTATATAGATCATATCACTCCTTATATGAGAAATATGTGCGTTTATTGATTTCCTGTCACTTGTAACCTTGCTTAAGACTACTGTTCAGTCCACTGCTGATTTTATTCTTCTTGGATTCTACCAGTTAGGCTTAATCCCAGAGATTGGAATGGACTCCTGCGCAGATTCACAAATTAAGATAGTCTGAACAGTGGACTGAAGAGAAGTGTATCACAAGTGGACACTCGGAAGCTATCTGATGAAGATCCGCAAGAATGACGGACCCGGAATATACTGTTGAGGGCTGTGCACCACTGCAACAAACAGTGTTGGCAAAAACCTTTGTGCTCCGTACACACAGCACCTCCAGTAAGCAGAACATCGCCTGACTCACAACAGTGTGGGGACATTTAGAAAAAAGCGACGTGATAAAATCTGCCAGGTTCCGGTAACATCGACTTAGGCTAATCCGAATTATGGACGATCGGCAATGTCAAAGCGAAAGCCAGATACACCCAGATGTCTTGGAAATTCAACAGCACGTTTAGTTTCATCCAACCATAGATAAACTTTCAGAAGTAATCACTTAGTTGGAGTGTTTGTGGACACTCTCTCATATCAACAATTGGTACTCTACCCTCACTGTTCTTTGAAGTTGGTGCAGATTGGATAATCCAGTATTCATGGTCCATTCTCCCCAACAGATGACAAATCCCTAGCCATGATTCCCACTGATGAGTATGCTGAAACTAGTTCTATTGGTCTAACATACCTCTTCACACAGATTGTGCTGTTAGACGTAAAAAAGATAGTACGCGGTCAAAATCAGAAAGTCGTAAGGGAAGAGAGCCATGAAGTGAGTGTATGCTGTTTGTAGACGCACTTACCAGTTTCATAGGAGAAGCAGTACGCGTGTTTTTTAGACCGCATTGGAATATCGTCAGTGTGGATGTCGAACTTCCCTTTTGCAACTAACTACGATTTTGTCAAGCTTTTCACATCAAGCCAAGTGCCGCATACCTTGAGCCACAAACCATGATTTGACTACAACCTGCGCACTGTTTTTGACATTTTTAAGGTTAGGGAAAAAGCGTTAACCAATGAAGTTCTGTTTGAACCCGTGGAATTAAATATTCAGTAGCGAAGAACGAGAGACACGCTTTGCCATTATGTTTGTAGCTTTACCGAGATTACTGTATGTACGGCACCCGTAGATGTCTAGCCCTGATTTTGTATATCAGAATCCGTGTGAAATTGTTTACTCTGCTCGCAGTTAGCTGAGTGATTAGCAATGAAAGCTGAAGGTTTCTTTTATTAGACAACTCCGATTGCATCATAGCTAGCCCACATTGCCTTTGTTGTAACCCGACTGTTTGCTTATACAGGCCTCTTGTAAGCGACAAAGCCAACAAATGTGCTTAATCGATGTCTATTAGAGTTTTTTGTGACCTTGACTACAAACAAGTAACGCTTGGACGTAACGTATTCCCCACAAGGCCGTTGGAAACTCTTCGACAGCCCGCAATAGATTTCGACCTTCCTGGAATTCATCAGATAGGCATAGTTCCCGATCTTCCATCAACTTCATGTTCTACTTGAACCTAAATTGCACGAGGCTAGCGAAATACGCCCATTCGCATATCAGTTTGATTTCGACTGGAGGCTCACCTGGAACCCAGCTGAATCCCTAATTTATGATCTTCTTAAGCAACGGAACCTGCTGCCTTAGGCCACCTCATCCTTCAGTTGTAGCCGAATGTCTCCTTAGTGCGCTTGTTAGCTCCCAAAAAGCGCAGTCAGAGAATACTTTCCGTTTTGCTGGGAATTATCAAGTGGGCTAAGGTGAACTGATTGTGAGACACTGGTTGGCAATTTGAAACAACTGAACAAATAGTACTGTGACAGCTGGAGACTTCCTCAGCAATGTTAGCTTTATTTGCACTGGGCAGTGAGAACGATTTTAATGCCAGAACTGATGGATCAGCTGCGAATACCATCAGACGTTTCTGCATGCATAGAGCGGAAACCCGTCTGTCTTTCAAACTTAAAATCCACTACAGTTGAGTTTTATGGTATACACCTTGTGAGATGAAACCAAATGGTTTCTCATCTCTCTTGCATGGCGGTGGTGTGCCTCTCACCCTCATGGTTACTCATTTCAGTTCTGAAAGGAATTCTGGATATACAAAGTGAATACTGAAATAATCTTTTCGTTGAACCCAATTAAGGCAAAACCTACAGAACGACTGTCCGTTGGACAGATGAAAACGGTACTTTTAAATGAATGGGTCCTGACAAACCTGGATTCAAACAGCACTTTCTGGCACTTTCTGGTGCTTTCCAGTTTAAGTAGGATGATGGGATGAATGATAAAACGGCTAAAGTTGGTATGCAAATCAGAAATTCGTTTGAATTTGGTCGTGAGTATAATGTGTGCTTGTTTGACGGCCATTTAGTGGTTGACTTTGTGTTTATTTTGTCCTTACATTGCACAGTGCCAACGTGACATCCACACGAGTGTTATTCGAGCGAACTTCCGCATGAGACTATGGTCACGTAACGCTAGTTCAGACAAATTTATATATAAGTGCAGATATATAAATACGATTGTGCAAACTGCTATTCGATGCTCAAATTCAAACNGAACGAGGCATCCGCGCGGTGGTGGGGGGGGGGGGGGGGGGGGCAGTGGAATCGTCTCTCCGTATGCCGACATGATAATTTGTTTGTTTGAATAAATACATCGATGCATCCACGTGACACAACTACAGACACAATTTAGCCACTTATGCTCTCAAAACTTACTTTGGCGAGGTGGAAAATGAAGGACAAACGGTGTCTGCTTAACAACAGTTTGGTTGAGAAATGTCTATTACCAGAATGCTTTGCTCGCGTTTTCTCAATGTCACACACTAACAGGTGCAACCAACTTCCAGTCGCTTGGTTCACAGGAAGAGATATCTCCGTAGAAACTTACACCGGTTTTCACAGATTACAGTGCTTCTTGAAGTAATCTAAATTTGGGTCTTCTTCACCTTAGCTTCCACAGTTCCTGATTACTGTGCAAAATTTCATCTGTTGTCAAAATTTCGTCCAAAGCGGTCGTTGCAGAGAGCATCATGCAACTTAGAACACGCTCTAACACAACACCCGCATGTCTATGACTTTTCTTGCTGGCTCACGAAATTCGAAAAGAGTACAACCAATAGGTTTTAATTTGGACCACTTGTACTCCCAAGTATCCGTGTCATGTGATCCTTTATCGTACATATATATATATATATGTCTGAAATTCATATCAAAATCAGAAGAATAGTAAATCTTTCACATTTACTTGAGGTAACCATGTGCGAAAAAGCTGTATATGTACATTACATGATACTTCCACATGGATATCATTTGAATTTGAATTTTTTGGAGGTTTTTAGGACTTCCTGCTTAAAGCGGACTAACGTGTTTGGTAGTATTTCAGTAAAGTTTTAAACTAGCTCGTGGGTTAACGTGGCTATTCCTCGTGTTTTCCAACTTTGGATGAAATGTGGTGAACTTGCCAGTCGGTTTTACCAGAATTTAATCCAATTATTGTCCACGGGCTGAGGTTCAATCCCAAATAGCTGTGATATTTCTAATTGTGCCCATTTAACTTCGGTGGGGATCGCTCACAAATGCGTGATTTTATACTTTACATTCTATCCTTATGAACAAGTTCACGCTCGCTTGTTTCTCAATCTACGCAACTATGACTATGGAGGAAGTGAAGACCACTCAGGCATAGTGCGGATTGATCGATGCCCGGGGTTGGAATCACTCAAAGTCCGACGGGGTGATCCACAAAGGTCGCACGACCGTGGCATAGGATGACTCATTCATCCATTGATTTTCTAATTACAAGGCTTGTGTTTTTACAAACCTTTGCTTTTCCCTTTACACAAAAATTAGATGAATGAAACCTGTTCAATCTGTTACACGTCCTGTGATACATGTATGCACAAGAATACAGTATGTGCCGTCCAGATAATTATTTGTTCTCTGAAACCCGATGGGGTTTTATGCCTGAAGCAAGTGATAGTCTCTAGGTCGCTAGGTGACATTGACTTCGAACAGAGGACAACATTCTTTCGAGTTGCGTTTCGGTGTGACTTTGTCATTAGTGTGACACCGAACACTGTTGTATACATGTCAAAAATTCGTGACCAGTTTGGTTTCAAGGGGAGAAACAATCCATTGTTTATGACCTTTTTTAACTGAACAGGCTGCATAGAGGGCTCTTCATATTTCCGTCGGTACGATGTTCAAAATATCTTGGAGGATGTACCCACGTTGTTGTGGGCTGTGAGTAGTTTTCTTCAAAAATATGTCGTACTGCTGAAAAGAAGCAGAGGAGTGGTAATATCGCTCGAGATGGAAAAAATTCACGGGTGTTTACACGGGTGGTTTGCGTGTTTATACTCACTACAAACAAACTGCTAAACTTCTCTCAGTTCTTTTTTGAGTCGAGATAAGAATGTTAGAAATTTTCGACCATCAAATAGTTCTCAAAACCTCCGTTTTTGTTTTCACAGATCCTTTTGTTTTTACTTGCTTCCACTTCCCGTGTGACAGAGTTAGATCGCCATGTACAGTCCGTAGCCCAGACGTGTCAAAAGCAGGTAGCTTCTGATAGTGCGATATACACATCCCTACGGATCTTTCCATTCCACAGCGCACTCCTCATACGGTTTTGTTTGTTCCGTTTAATGCGCTGTCCTGCTACTTAATGACCACCACTGGCCTCTAGAACCCTCTGAAACGCTACAGTTTTTTAGTATCGAAGTAACAAGTGTCAGAACCGGGCACATAGTTCCTAAAACCTCATCTATCCTTTCCACAGTCCTGTTACCTCCGTCCCAAGTTCAGATGTCCGTACTGTGATGCTTCCTAAAATCGCGTCTGCGTGAAGTCGAATAGCAGTGAAAACGATATGCTGCCTCGGATTATGGAGTGAACAGGATTACCTAATCATTACCTACTAATCATGGGGTACGATCAATCTAACTAAAAGAACAAACTGTCAAGATGAAATGGGTTGTCCCAATCGGTCTTGTTCTTTTTGACCAGGGAAATTACTCGTCAAATGCATCTGTTACGGTCGCAGGATTTCCCCGACTTGTTGGGGGGACTATAGCGGAACGACCTTACTGGGTTTTTGTTCTAAAGATGTATCCGTTGTTTTCAAGTTACTAGGCCCAAGTTTATGGAACGTATTTAGTCTGAAAATACAAACAAATATTTTCTACCCTAGCCATAAAACAGATGATGTCCGTCGGTGAATCATTATTAAATTTGTCAATAATCTTATGATAATAGAAACACACGTCCCCCATGTGAATCGGATCTGTTGATCAATAAATGTAGATACAGGATATGTCCGAATAAAATAGAGCAACCACAGACGATCGCCTCATTCTGCATTGCCATTCACGTTATTTTGGCATCGCAAAGGTCATTTTCTGCTCTAACTCGTAAAAGAATAGAAGAACTACCATGTATGACTCACTACGTTTCTCAGTTCAACCGCCATGAAGCAATCTATTCAAACAGGATCTACAGGCATATAAATGGTGTTGAATCAAAAACGATCGCAGCAATAAATCGCGTACGCATCTAGACATCAAACTTGTTGCTCGGTTTTGGAACTCCAGTACTGTTTCAACACGAAGTGCAACTCAAGTGGAAATATTGGCATCTATAGGGGTGCATTCATTCAGGTGGAACATGTCCTCACGCAGCTTTTGGGTGACTTAAATGAATTTCGGTGCCACTGCCCATGATAAGAATGATAAATTAGTTTTATATGCCTAGTATTCAAAATATGCAAAATTTTGTATCCGTATCACTTTTGGTTTGTTTTTGTTTTATCACGAGGCGGAGTTACGAGAAAACCACAAACTACTCACGTCTCATCAGTAGCATCCACCGTTGTGCTGATAGCACTCTGAGGTTGGTCGCTCAGATAGCAGATGAAGGAAGGTTCATCCAGAGACTTACAGTTCTTAAAAACGTGAGAGTTTCACTCAGATAGAATTCAACGACTTGTACAAAATGCAGATCCTCAAGATTTTAGGTTTGTAGACAGTAGTGGCATGCGCTGAAAAGACGTTCTCTTTAAGACGACCACGAATTTTGATGATTGAGGCTACACACAGGCCCACATTTCTGGTTCGGGATTTGCTGTAATCAATATAAATGCACCGTGGGTGTTCTGATTAACTTGAGTAATGTCAAATGATATTATTTCTAATCAAGTGCCATTGTTTGGCCTCAGTGTAAAACGGTTTACGAAAAACACAATCATTATCCTTGTATATGCATCTTGAACTGGGTTTCAGTCAATCAGTTGTTAATCTGAGGTCATAGGACATTGTGCTTGTGAGACCTTTCTATAAGCTTCCATCATTCTTTCTTTAGAGGCTCACAACACAACGATTTTTTGAGGCAACCATTCGGAACTTTGATGCACATTTTCACTGATCGGAGGATTTCACTATCGAACTGAAACTTAGCCTTTTTGAGACATAAAGGGTGAGTGTACAACAACGCCTACCGAGAACCGTCCTCACCACTTTACAGCAGTTTATGGTTTATGCCGACCTCGCTTTCACATAGACTTCATTTGCCAAAACCAATAAACTGGGGACAACAAGCGAGTGTGTTTGTATGAAAGTTCGGCGATGGAGACTTCAAAACACCTCGCCCTTGTGGGTAGCACACAACATAAAAAATATCGCTATTTGATACCCTCCTTTCATCCATTGATCAATGTGAATGATCCGCCACTCGTTAGCCAACGTTGACTTTGCAGATACGTACAAATCAAGCAATCGGGGCCAAGTAGCTATTCCATTAGGTGCAGGCACACCCGAATCAGACGGAACTGAAGCTTACTGGGATTTCATCGGATTTACCTAAGAACAGACTGTGTTGGCGGTAGAGCACCGGAGCACTGAGTAAAGCTCGTAAAGGTGTGGCGCGATTTGACAGGATTAGGTCAGATTCGGATAGCCCTATACTTTTATTGTGCCTTTCTAAGTTAGGCACAGCAGACGCTCGGGTATGTGCAGTGCCTGTTTAGGATAAAAGTGGCTGCAGTCTATTCATGTAAAATCGGTCAAGTTTACTTAATTCGGACTTAATTCAGACGATCGGAACTTGTATATGTGCGTAGGATCGTCTTTTAACAAGTAGTCGCTCGCTTCTAAGGTAATCAGCGGCAAAAAATTGAACCGAGATAAATTGGACCTCGTGCGCGAAAGCGCTGGTTTTCGGAGATTAACATACAGTGGTTCTTTGGAAAAAACTGGATGCCTGTACAGTTTTGTCACGAGATACGTGAAGGATAGAGAGATGATACGGGTAGCATCAAATTTCAGATTTATGTGATACTAAGCGACGAGAAAGACTTAACACCCGTGGAACTTATTACAGTGAAGCTTTGATGCGTATGGGGAAAGTGATGTCTTCAATTTAAAAAGTCACTTTGAAAAATAAGATGTTTTGATTTACCTTCCACTCAAGGTAGATCCTGGCTAAAGAGCTGGGTGTAACATTTTGACTATGCCTTTATAAATATTCTATTTTGTTTGTCTCCCAAAGTGACCATCTTGTTAGTCCGACCTGAATGCTGCAACGAAAAGGGGAGGTACAAAGTCTAGAATTCTGTTTTCAAGGTCTCTCTGAAGAAGGAAGTCTAACGAAGGTGGGCCAGGGCAGAGCAGCATTTCATCACACTGGAGGATCAAGGGAAATCTTACAGGAGGCGACATCCTCATGGGAAGAACATCGTCCCATTTATAAAAGCAAACATTTCGCCCTGTACTGCATGAGAAGAGGTCATGAAGAGTAGTGTGTAGTAACTGTGCACTCTGATAAGCAGATGAATTGCCGCAAAAGCAGCGTTCTATTGAACCGAAAATTCGATCAGCCAATCGAAAAATTACAAACACCTTGATGGTTTACAATTTTGATGGGCCGTAGAAGGAAACATAAAGCTGTACTCAGAGCTGTTGGTCATATGGACAGAATGATGACAAACTGCTTCGAATATTACGATTAGACTTCACATGTACCCACATGTACCCGCAT